GCAATGCAGTGGACGATATGAATGACAAGCTCGTGGAAACTGTCCATGCGGTCGGAGCTAAGTTATGCCAGACCCGCCGCAGAAGAATACAAAAACTCTCCGATCACACTCTTAATCTCATGGCTGTTAGACGGGAGATGAGGCTGCAATCATCAAAAGATTTGACAGCATACAGGCAACTAAACAGACAGATCTCCAAATGCATGCGGCGAGACTTACGCAACTTTAATACTTTGAATAAAACTATTATTTACGGATTTTATCGCGTTTAATTACTTTAATTTATTTTTATTATTATCCCGACGTTTCGGGTGCTTTATAGCGCCCATGGTCACGGGGGGTACTGAGATGTTTGACGTCCCAATGTCATAGTTAGTCCGGCTACGTTCAGTTTTTTAATTTAAAAACAAAAAACAAAATTAAACCCAAACCAAAGCATACCACTGCAAGACTTCATGATACTATAAGCTCGTTTTGCGTAAATCGGACCAAAAATTAATATTAAAAAACTGAAGGTAGCCGGACTAACTATGACATTGGGACGTCAAACATCTCAGTCCCCCCCGTGACCATGGGCGCTGTAAAGCACCCGAAACGTCGGGATAATAATAAAAATAAATTAAAGTAATTAAACGCGATAAAATCCGTAAATAATAGTTTTATTCAATGTGTAGTGTTCGCGTAAATTTAAGAAAACTTTAATACTGCTCGTATTAAAGAAGCAATCGAGCGGAACCAGGGCTCCAAAGTCTTTGCCAGAGATCTGTCTGCCAGAAAGAGCCAACTGTCAGAGCTGAAGACTGAGTGTGGCAGCATCGTTTCCGGGACACCTGAGATTTTGAGTGAGATTGAGAGGTTCTATGGGCAGCTGTACACATCATCGTTGCAGCCACACGCAAGTGTGAGTAACGATCCAAGAGCAAGTCTTACCCGACACTATTCCGATGATATCCCGGACGTCAGTCTGAGCGCGATTAGAATGGCTCTCCAGCACCTTAAAAACGGCAGGGCCCCAGGCGAGGATGGAATTACAGCGGAGCTTCTGAAAGCGGGTGGAACACCGGTACTTGAAGTCCTTCAGAAGCTCTTCAATTCCGTCCTCCATGGTGGCACTACTCCGGAGGCGTGGAGTAGAAGTACGGTGGTCCTGTTCTTTAAGAAAGGTGACAACGCTCTTTTGAAGAACTACGGACCGATTTCCCTTCTGAGCCGCGTCTACGTGCTGTTTTCGAGAGTCATTACGAATCGTCTCGCACGCAGACTCGACGACTTCCAACCTCCCGAACAAGCCGGTTTCCGAAAAGGCTTCAGTACCATAGACCACATACGTACCCTGCGGCAGATTGTACAGAAGACCGAGGAGTACAATCTGCCACTTTGCCTGGCGTATGTGGACTATGAGAAAGCCTTTGATTCCGTCGAAATTTGGGCGGTGCTACAGTCCCTTCAGCGGTGCCAAGTTGACTGTCGGTATATCGAAGTGCTGAAGTGTTTGTACAGTAGGGCTACGATGGCTATCCGAGTACAGAACCAGAGTTCGAAGCGTATCCAACAGAGAGGTGTAAGACAGGGTGACGTTATATCCCCGAAACTTTTCACCGCTGCGTTGGAAGACGTTTTCAAGCTACTGGACTGGAAAGGATACGGTATTAACATCAATGGCGAGTACATCACTCACCTTCGATTTGCCGACGATATAGTCCTTATGGCAGAATCGCTGGAGGACCTTAGCACTATGCTCAATGACCTCAATGGTGTCTCCCAACGGATAGGTCTTAAGATGAACATGCACAAAACAAAGATCATGTTTAATGTCCATGTCACACCTATGCCGGTAGTTGTTGGGAGCACTATGCTCGAAGTTTTTGACGAGTACGTTTACCTGGGACAAATAGTCCGACTAGGTAAGTCCAACTTCGACCGAGAGGTCAATCGACGGATTCAACTCGGCTGGGCAGCGTTCGGGAAATTACGACATATCTTCTCGTCAGGTATACCTCAATCTCTAAAAACTAGACTGTACAACCAGTGCGTGTTGCCAGTGATGACTTACGGATCTGAGACGTGGTCCTTCACTGCTGGCCGTATGAGGACGCTCAAGGTCGCTCAGCGAGCTATGGAGAGGGCTATGCTCGGAGTTTCCCTGCGTGATAGACTCAGAAATGAGGATACCCGCAGTAAAACCAGAGTGACCGACATAGCCCAACGGATTAGTAAGCTGAAGTGGCAATGGGCCGGCCATATAGCTCGAAGAACCGATAACCGATGGGGAAGAAAGGTTCTTGAGTGGCAGCCTCGTACCTGTAGGCGTAGTGTAGGGCGACCCCCCACTAGATGGAGTGACGACCTGGTAAGATATGCAGGAAGTCGATGGATGGAGGTGGCTCAGGACCGTGCTTTGTGGCATTACTTGGGGGAGGCCTATGTTCAGCAGTGGACTTGTGAAGGGCTGTGATGATGATGATGATGAGAAGGGATCCAACCATTGATAATTATATTAATTACAAAAGACTTGATGCTGTTAAGAAAAAGACTATTTCAGAACATAAATGCAATGGTTGGGCGAATAGCTTTAATACTTTTAACAGAACTACACCTGTTAATATTATTTGGAAATACATCAAGTTATTTAAACGAATGAAATGCAATAATAAAACATTAAAGATGAATTTGTTCTCCCTCTCTTAGAAAAATTATCTCAAAATGGATGTAGGGTTATTGATAATCTAGAAAGTTATTTTCAAATTAATAATAGCCTTCAGAAGTCTAGTTTCCTCATAAAACCCTTTACTTGGAGTGAGTTTTGTACAAGTTTACAATCCAGAAGAAACACAACCCCTGGTTTAGATGATTGTCCATACATTTTGATTAAAAACCTAAATCAGTCCGTTCAAAAGAAACTGTTAGCTAATCTTAATGCCCTTTGGCACTTAAAAGAATATCCTGAATCTTGGAAAACAGTGTGTAATCCCTCTACTTAAGCCTGACAAGCCACCTGAAGATCCTAATTCATATCGTCCCATATCATTGTCACCTTGTGTTGGAAAACTTAATGAAAACATGATAAAGATGCGTCTTGAGTATTATGTAGAATCAGAATCAGAATCAGAATATTTTTATTGCCAATAAACTGTGTATGTACAATTTGCGGGTGACATTGCAATTAAATGTTACACGGTTTACCCATATCGGGTATGCAATAATTAGAAAACAAAACTTAATTTAAATTATTTGGTATTAAAATATTCATCTAAATTATAAAAAAAAAAACATTAGTATGCAATAATTAAAAAAACAAAACTTAATTTAAATTATTTGGTATTAAAATATTCATCTAAATTATAAAAGACATTATGTATTAATAGATGGCATATTTTAAATAATATAATATCTATTATAAATAATAGATTTTTATAACGATTAGAGGCAAACAACATCATTCCACATGTTCAATATGGCTTCCGAAGAGGTCGAAGTTGTGCTGACAGCTTCATCTCTCTCTTTTCAGATCTGAAATATGCCAATAATAATAGTAAGTCCAGTGTTTGTGTTTTTCTGGATATTCAAGGTGTGTTTGATAATGTAGACCCTGGCATTTTGGTTCAAGTTCTTTCTGACATTGGTATACCAGGCACACTTTGTCATTGGTTATTTAATTTTTTAACAGATAGAACTTTGTATATATGACATAATAATATTCTCCATGGTCCTAGAAGGGTCTCCAAAGGTACAATGCAGGGGGCTACATTATCTTCATTGCTGTTCAATATATTATATACGATAGTTCATAATAGATAGCTTGATCTCTGCGACAGCTGTCAGTAAAATCACGCCTAACGCCTATGAAGTCCTGAATTTCTTAGTAGTACAGACATAAAAAAAACATAAACACTCACGTGTCATCCAGAGGGGTAGGCAGAGACTACAGATACCTACGCGTACATGCTCGTCGGTTAAGGGTACTCTTAATTTGGCCCATTTTTAGTATATCGCCAATTTGGTCGACAAACTTTCGACAGAACCTGTCAATGTCATACTTTATGGGCATGCCGACCTAATTAGTGCATGCCCATAAAGTATGACATTGACAGGTACTGTCTGTACTACTAAGAAATTCAGGACTTCATAGGTGTGATTTTACTGACAGCTGTCGCAGAGATCAAGCTATCTTTTATGAACTATAGTCAAATTCTTAATTTTGTAAATATAGAAGGTGTAAATATTTTACAATTTGCGGATGATCTTGTAATATATTGTACAGACCATAATGTAGATAGAGCTGTAAATAGTATAATAATGCTTTAACCATTGACTTATATATTACTAGCGTAAGGACTGGGTCGACCGAACAACTAAAACGGACCAGTGCGCTGGCCCTAAAATTACAGTTTAGGGCCAACGCGAATCGGTCAACGGTGGTACGCGCGCCGGGACAGAATTGACAGTCACAAACTGTGGTTGCAACAACTGGTTTATTAACCTTCATGGCGGTAATTTCATGTTTTTAACAATATAAATTATCAACATACCCAACACCTCTGTACCTAATAATGCGTATAAATAGTTACATGTTATAAAAAAGTTTAATTCTAGTAAATATTTTACCACAAGTCTTAATGAGCATATAATTTGAAATAAAAACTTACATTAGTTTATATTATAGTACCTTGGCCGGCCACGATGAGGACGTAAACTACGCTTTAATATTAGTGGAGAAAGAGACGTGTTAATGTTTTTCTCTTTTGTTTCACTCGAAATCTGTTTACTGTTTTCCGAGCTAGTGGCCGGCTGGGAGGCCGGACTAGCAATAGTACTGTCCATCGTGGTCGGCGACTCTGGCATAGACATGCGCAAAACGGTACCCGAAGAAGTGATGCAACATCACACATCACTTTTGTTACAGTGATATCACTTTGTGATATTACCATCACCCTAAACATCACTCGAGTTTTCGGCATTACAGGCAACTGAGTACCGACAATAGTGCTGGTATCTATCAATCACATTTGACGGACGACACTCGTATTACACTCACATGGTATGGATGTCGCTGTTATATTCAGTCTTTTTAGCATGTGTGAGTGAAGGCGTGGGTAGATGACTTTCCGTTCTTTCCACCATAATAATGGATCGCAGTGTCGGTTGATTTGCGGCTCATTCATATACTTGTCGAATTCTACTATACCCGCAGCAACCGGATTTTCGGGTACCTGGCGTGCCACTTCTTCATCAAACTGTTCCCAAAGTGAGCTTACTTTTGAGCAACCTGGGGTTGGTTCGACAGGCTCTGCTGGTTGCAAAGGGCGTTCGTCTGAAAGAACTATCCTCCCAATTTTTAATTTTAAATCGGCTGCCGCCGCTTCGAAGTTTCTTATATCCCTGAAACCAGATTTTTTGAAGCGTGGGTCCAGTATTGTGGCTTCCCTAAGCAACATATTCTTTTCTATATCACCGAAACGATGCATAAGTTCTGTTTTAAAAAAAGAAACAAGTCCTTTAATGGTTTCCACGGTTTCATTCGAAAATTTTTGAATTTGTGTGTACATTAGTTTGCACAGCACTATATATTTGGATGCGGACACGTAGTTTTCAGCACTAACCTCATTAGTCACCTCGTAGAAGATGGAAGATCGGTAGGGATTTTTCAATAATCATCCAGTCGTTGGGCGTCAGGGTCAATTCGGCTCTCATGATTGCTATTGAAGCAATAAGAGCTTCTTTTATCTTCAGGAACAGGTTGAGCATATCGTACGTAGAGTTCCATCTAGTGCACACGTCTTGTTTCAATTTCAGTGGTGCCAAATGCATTTGCTCCTGTATCTCTTTAAGTTTTCTCCGCGCAGGCATGCTTCTATTGAAGAACTCCACCACATTTTTCACTTTGATCACGGTATCAGCGATAATTTCTAGGCTGTCCTTGACAACTAGGTTGATAGTATGTGCGAAACAGCTTATAGAACGCCACCCGCCGATTCGAACGGCACCCAGAATATTAGACGCGTTGTCGCTGACAATCGCGCAAATTTTCTGGTCAATGCACCATTCACGAAATTTCTCTTTTAGAAATTCTGATATGTTTATCATTGTGTGACTCTCGTTAAATTGTAAACAACCAATCATGACAGTACGTAAAATGTGGATTTCGGGATCGATAAAATGGGCCGTGTGATTCGTTACTGAGCGCCATCCATCAGTAGTAATGCAAACGGCAGTGGCTGACCCACCACCAACTTCTTTTTTCATACTTTCTATCGTCCTGTTATATAACTTGGAAAGAAGGCTTTCAGAAAGAGTTTTACGAGTGGGCAATTTATATGAAGGATTAAGCATGTCCACGAATTTTTGGAATTCCTTCTCTTCCACAAGTCTGAAGGCATGATAGCCTTTGGCTATCATTTTTATTAGCTGCTCGTCCAGCTGTTGCGTCCTAATTAGTGGAAGAGGTTTTTTGACTACGATGTAATCTTTTACTGTAGTTCCGGCCACCTTACCCTTTGTAGCTGATATAATGTTAGCTGTTGTTACAGTTGGTCTGGTCCCAGAAGAAGTGGTTGTAGTCACCACTGATATTGTAGAACTTGTGGTGGCCACTTGTACATTCTTGTTGGAATTTTCTTCGCTTTCATCTATTGACTCAAGCCTTTTCGGTGCGATATTTACCGTCGGATGGACTTTTTTCATGTGCCTACTTAAGGTCCCAATTGAACTGCAAGATAACGTTAGTATCTTTGAGCAATAGTTGCATTTAGCTTTCTTCGGCTCCGTGCTGTCAAAATGGTTCTAGAGAGGACTAAATTTCCGTTTTGATGCCATATTCTCACTTTTTAGGTAACAAATTCACCACTAATTAATAGTCACACGTGAATACCTGGGTACACAAAAAGATACCCAGCTACGTAGGCGGTCCCATAATGAATTGGCCTAACTATGAACCAATGAAGGTATTGAAACGAAACCAATTTTATTTTTCAATATAATCACCATGAATACTAACACACTTCTGACATCTGTGAATCAACATCTCTAAACCTTTATAAAAATAATCATATTTTTTATCCTCAAAATGACTGAAGACGGCCGCCTGCAAATCTTCATCGCTTGAAAATATTCTTCCTTTTAAGTCCCGCTTTAAATTTGGAAATAAATAATAGTCGGACGGGTCCATGTCTGGACTGTAAGGTGGATGTTGAACTTCTGTGAACCCGCATTGACGAACTGCATCCTTCGAAACACCAGCGGTATGAACAGGGGCGTTGTCATGGATCAACAGGACACCTTTAGACAGCTTGCCTCTTCGTTTTCCTTTATCTTGTCTCGTAATTTATATATTAAAGAAGCATAATATTCGCCGTTCACGACTGTATTACGTTCTTTAAAATCCACTATCAAAATGCCTTGAAAATCCCAAAATATTGTGCACATCAGTTTTTTAGTCGATTGTTGCACCTTTGCCTTTCTAGGGGGCTTTTCACCCTTATAACGCTATTCCATTGACTCGCGCTTGCTTTGTGGATCATAAAACAAGATCATAGTTTCATCACCAGTCACTAGCCGCTCGATTACAGTCTTTGAATTTTCGCCACAAAGATCCAAAAACTCCGAAGCGCAGCGCACTCTTTCCTGTCTCTGTACCGCTGAAAGAAGTTTCGGTACCCATCTTGCACTCACTTTTTTCATGTGAAGATGTTCATGGATCGCGCGATGAACGGTACTCTTACAGAGCCCAAGCCTTGCTGCAATTTCTCTAATCTTCAAACGGCGGTCATTCAGAACCTCCTCTTCGATAAGAGCAATCGTTTCGGGAGTGAGCACTTCCACAGGTCGACCGTCGTGGCCAAAGTTTCCACGGTTTCTCTCCCGAGGCGAAACTCTTTCACCCAATTTTTCACTGTGCTATAGGAGGGAGCTGACTCCTTATACACGCCATCCAATCATTCTTTTATTTGGGCAGGGGATAAACCTTCTTTAAACAGAAACTTTATGACACTTCGATACTCAGTTTTCGACATTTTGAAAAAATACGCGACTCTCGTTATTCAAATGCCTGTTAAACTAAGACTAAGCATTTCATGTCGATGCATGTTTCTTATATTAAGTGCACGATAAACGTACTATTTAATGCAACACAACATGTAGCGACATGTCGCGTTGAACTATGTCAGGCTAGTTCATTATGGGACCGCCTGGTAAGTATCTAATTTAGAGTTATACTGCACTGTAAGTAAAATTCTCTGCTTAACACTAACTAAAGAGTTTATATACACACACTTTTGGTTAATATTACACTTTGTATTTATACTTCGTCTTTAATTAAATAGTTTTAAGATGAAAAAAGTTTTATTAATACAATACCTACTGTACGTAATAATTAATTACGACTAGTTAACTCCGAAATTACTATCTCTCGTAACTAACGTACGTACGCGTGCAATTACTATTAGTAAAAAACAACACTGACCGACTGACCACTGGCCTGACTCAAACAAATCTAAATAAGCTAACCTATTATTACATTAAATCATTAATGGATAAAAATAATTACGGAGAAATGGCCCTTTGTACATTTATAATAAACACCAAAATTGCATACATTACACGGAGAAATTCCAGGAATTGGCGGACCACAAGCGCGAGGCAGCGCGAAGCTCGCGCGTTTCACGTACGTCACGACAGAGCCCGAGTATGCCCGAATGACACCGATCGCGCGCGACGTTTTTCGTTTCATGGTTTCGGGCGGGTGATGTGAGTGATGTGTAATGGTTGGATTTGACGCGTAATGAGTAATGTTGCATCACTTCTCCGAGTAATATTACTCGCGTAATATTACACGCATTACTTACCTATGTCTACTCTGGCACTGTAAACACCGTACTTGGCGTAGGTAGGTTATCTCTAGTTACACTTGTGTCTGTCAACCACAAATGTCTAGTTGCGTGGTAAAAGAATGCAAAATTTACGATACAAAGATTTAAAAAACACCTCGGATATCGTACTATTGACAAATAACCTTATATTAATTTTGTTATAATTAAATTATTATATAAACGCATTTTAAAGTGTCATTTTACGGTTAGTTTAGTTACGTTACTAAGATTAGGCCAGGGCTGGATTCAGACCCACAAAAATATTGCACATGAAAAATTAAATTATACTATTTTTAAAAAAAATTATATCACGTTTGACGTTTCATGTTTCTTTTTCCGATGTGCCGAGATTTTGGCGTCACGCGTCTGGTTTATATATATACGTTTCGTTTTTTGACGGTTTCATTTTTATTTCTGTTTAAGTTTTTGTCTAAAGAACTTAGTGTAAGTTAAATTTTGAATATTGGTACCTAATATATTTTATATTTAATAAGGGTAAAACTAAAAGAGTACAAAAGAAACCATATCTGCTTAATTGAATCTGAAAGTCGGATTCATAAAATATTTTGAAATTCTGTTTTCAAACTGATTGCTTCTTGAGCATAGAGTTTTTATCGTAGTAGCCCCTCGTCATAGTAGTATCAAGGATGCAACATAAATGCATCGATCTAGCGTCGATTGACCAGAAAGGGTTAAGGGTTAAGGGTTTCACTACAGAAATTTCCGTTACGGTAGGGGTAATATTGAAATGTAAAAGGAGCCAATAAAAATACAAGTCGACCTTTAGGTAAAATTATGGTATTTTCGCTTAGTATTATTACGATACTATGTATTACAAACTATGACATAACGGTACATTTAGGATAGTTATACTACGAAATTCGACCCTGGTTACGTTGTGTTTTGATATGACGTTTGTATTATGACAAATGCGTTACTTTTTCTTGTATGAAAAAGTTATGAGTAAAATGTTTAGATGGGCCTATCCTTCCTTTTGAAATCATTGGCTTTAACTTAATTGTACATATATTATAATGACAGGTTGGCTCTACAGGTTAACCCCAACAAAAGCTAGGCCATGATTTTTAGTAAAGATTTTCCCTCTAATGGCATACTTGGGCATACTCTACAATAATCATCCAATTTCAGTTTTATCTAACCATAAATTCTTGGGTGTGTCATTGATAACAAACTTTGTTTTGATTTACACATCAATCACATCATAACCAACTCTCTTAAGGGCTTAAATATTATAAGATGTTTAGCTGGTGTGACTTTGGGTGCAGAGCCCAAAGTTTTAAGTATGCTATATAAATCTATAGCAAATAGTAGTTGTGTAAAAAAACTAGACATAATTCAAAACAAAGCTCTGCAAATTATTACGGGGGCTATGTGTTCCCATACGAGCTATGGAAGTTGAAACCAAAATAATTCCACTATGTCTTAGAAGACTTATGCTAATAGAGAGATTTTTACTAAGGCTGTTATCTGGTAACAATAATGTTCTCAAAAAATAGTACCTTTTCCTGTACAATGCTCGGCCCTGCAGATTTCGGGAGGTGAGCTTTTACTAAGTTATTTCCCAATTTTGCCTCTCGTTGTAGTACAAATGAATGAAGATTTTAAAAATGTAATTAAACAATCAAAGTGGACATGCTACTCATACCCATATTCCTGTATTATATTTGAGACCAATATTGTTACTAATTTTTTTTAATAATTGTGAATTATTACGTTTTCTTTCCGACAATAACTACTATACTTTGTATACAGATGGTAGCAAAAGTGAGCTCTTTGTGCGCAGTACTGTTTATGATTTCCAATACAAGATTGGTCAGTTTTCTTCTGGACCCCAAATACAGTGTTTTCACTGCAGAGGCATATGCGGCCCTTGAGGCCCTGAAGAGGATCGCACGTATAAATAGTTTTAATATTTTTTTAATTTTAACAGACAGTTTAAGTACGGTCCAAAGTCTAACCAATCTCAGATTTGACTTTAAAAAAACTATACTTTGTATAATATTAAAAAATTGTTATTTAGTTATGCACAAAAGGGTATACAGGTCTCTTTCATGTGGATTCCATCACATAGGGGCATAACAGGAAATGAGATAGTAGATAAAATTGCACGTGATGGAACCAACATGTTGGATATTAGCTCCATAGTAAAAGTACCTTTGACCGACTGTTATCAATCTATTGACGACCAGGTCAATAGTTTATGGGTCGAATTTTGGAAACAAGACCAAGAACAGAAGGGTAAATGGTATGGAAATGTTCAAGCAAACCTACCCGTAGCACCATGGTATAACAAACTGAAAATGGCCAGTCGGTACTTTATTACGACTATAAACAGACTGCGTTTGTGAGTGCTTTTCGTGTGACAGATTGATTAAAGTTAAAAACATAGTGCAAAATCAAGTGACAGTGCAAGATCCCTCCAGCCGCCTGAGCGATATGTTAAAAAATAGATCCTATTACGTGCCTCTATATAAATTTGTCAAAAATACAGTGGGGAAATTATAATAAACCGAATAAAAATACTCAAGACTTGGCCTAAAGGTCTAGATACCAGAGCATAAACTCCAAAAAAATAGCGAAAGCCGTTAGCACTCGAACCTTGAAAAGCTGCCGGTGCAGTCAACGCCGTACTGAAAATTTCAGATGCTGGTAGCCATTTTTTTTGTTTAAATGTCAATATGAATGTTGCAATCAACTTGAAATAGAAGATGAATTTTATTTTCAAATTAATACAAAGTATAATCTATACATTGAATTGTCCGTTTGTAATATCAAAATAATAGCCTTTTACTAAAT